CTCTCTCTCTCTCTCTCTCTCTCTCTCTCTCTCTCTCTCTCTCTCTCTCTTTCTTTCTGAGAACAGGTCGCACTATGTAGTTCAGGTTGGCTTTGAACTCATTATGTAGCATAGGTTGGCCTTAAAATTGCAGTGATCCTCCTATCTCAGCTTCCCAAGTGTTGGGATCACAGGCATGGACCACCACACCAGGCACTCATTAGGTCTTTCATCTTCTCTACCATGATATATTACATTGATTACAGCTTAAAATTCCGCCCCAGGACACTTTATTTATTCATGGCACTGGGGATTGAACCCAGTCATACTCTACCATTGAGCTACTTCCCTTTTTTATATTTAAACTTTGAGGCAGGATCTCATTAAATCACAAGATGCCCAGGTTGGGCTTGAACTTGTGATCCTCTTTGCTTCAGTCTCCCCAGGGCTGGGATTACAGATGTGGGCCACCACGCTTGGCTACCAGAACTCTTTACAGTGCACCTGCTGTTTGCTTGAGAGACCAGAGACTACAGAAAGTTTGATAGCAGCAGCCCTCAATAGGTACCCCCAGGCAGCTGAACTTTCACCAAATTTCTATCCTGGAGCCAAACATCAAGATAATGTTGAATTACGAGAGGGCTTCGAGTTTGAGAGCCTTGGAAACATTCATTCAAAATACGGAATACTGGGGCTGGAGATATAGCCCCATGATATACCATCTGGTCCCAGATTCAATCCCTAACCTCAAGAGAAAAAACAAAACAAAAGAAAAAACCAAAAGTAAGTTGAATGTTCCACTATTTTTTCTCCATTTTCCAGTATAAGCTTCTATTCAAATGCATGCTGCACATAGCACCCTGAGCTGGGGTGTGACTCAGTGGTAGGAGAGCATGCTCAGCAAGCGTAAGGCCCTGGGTTCAATATCCAGGGGACACACACACACACACACACACACACCCCCACACACACACCCCGAGCAGACAGCTATTAATCCTCCTGCTTTTGTACCCATTTCCTGGGGCGTTCTCACACCAATCGAATTTCTGGCAACAAAGACAGAATGATGTCTGTCTGCTCCTCTGAGTCCCAGTGTCCTATTGCATTAAGGACGCTGAGGTCCTGTCACCTTATGGCCCACAAGATTAACAATCAGAAAGTCAGAGTAAACTTTTAAAATACTCCCATCTTGTGGCAGTTTGGAAATATGGCAGCCCTGCCTGCCTGGCCTTTGTACCTCTGCTCTACTAGATCGCAGCAAAGTGAAAACAGCTGGATGTAGGACGTTCTAAAACTACACAGGAAAGAACAGGAGATTCCTCCTGAAGCACACGGATCCCCAGAGAAAGCCCAACCCTGGGCCACCTTCTATTGTCACTGTAGTTCTGACGGATGCCCACCCTCTCCGGCTCCATCGTGGAATTCAGGCTGACCCTCCCGTTTTACGCCGTACCCGCTCTACCCCAACTGGTAAGAACAGAAAATCAGTAGTAGTTGGTTCACAAAACTTCAGAGGTGGTTCCGCTACAGCGTAGCTCGTCACAGCGCCGACAGTGGGC